GTGAGCATTGAGTGAACTATTTTTTCACTTCAATCAAGCTCGAATTTTAGGCTTCAATTGAGCTTCTATTTTTTTTTCAAGCCTTTTTGAGTTCAAGTTTTAATATTATATTTCGAGTTCGAGTTGAACTTGAAAATTTTTAACTTGTGAGTTTAAGTGGAGTTGAGCTTACTTTTAAAGTTTTCAAGTTCGAGTCAAGCTCAGCAATACTCGAGTTCGACTTGGTCGTTTAACAAACGACGTTTGGTTTAATTTAAAAAAAAAAACAAAATTTCCGGTTTTTCCGGTTTTTTCCGGTTTTCAGCCGGTCCGGTTCTAACGGTTCAGCGGTTCTGACCGGTTCACTAGTAGCGGTTCAACCGGTTTAGATTAAACCGGACTAGGCAACGATTCCCGGTTGAACCGGCCGGTCCGGTCCGGTTTTCAAAACAAAGATCTTTACTTAAATTATGTAAGCAATGACATCAATTTAGTTTGGGTTTGGGTTTAGGCTCCCATAATGGATCAAGTTTATGATCCAACAAGAACAACCTTTTTATGTGTTTTTCTATCTCATTCTTCTCTTCTTTTGTACCATCCCTCCAATTTCTGTTCCAGGGACATCAAGATTCATCCGATTCAAGTCAATCTGCTACACGAGATCCTCTCAAGCGGAATTGCCAGTTTATGCCAACCTTATAAGCAGTACCGTATCTTCAAAGCCATGAATGGCACACCGCTTCTGAGATAGCGTTGCGCCTCCAACTCAATCGATACAATGACAAGCATGACTAGTATCCGTTTCGATCATTCAACTTAGTTCTCCCGTCACCAGATTGCCCTGAAAGGAACATAATTTATTTTTATAAAAATCACAGTACAATTCCTATGAATGGAATCAAGTTGCAATCCATTCATCAGTACACATTACAGATGTTACGGTTAAACCCAAATTTCCGGTTCATTGACACTAAGCAAAAGCTAAAGTGAGTATCTTCAGAAGGAACCCATGATTCATCTGGATTGCTATCAAGAAATGAAGGCCTCTCAGGACCAAGCACTCGTTTCGGCTTATTCTCGTTCTTAAATTGATTTTTGGCCAACAGATCAGGGGTTTCATACAATTCCTCATCATCTGCATGGTATCCTCTAGCGTGCCTCAGCAACAGCGCCACAGCATTCTGCGCAACTTCTTCAGCACCAGCAGAGGATGCCGTAGATTGATCTCAGGCTTTATCATCAGCTTCAGGTTTCTCAACCTGTTTCTGTTTCCTTATAATCAAACCGGAGGCAGCAGTTTCAATTCCTGGCTCCTTAACCTGTGGATTGTCACCACTCCTAAGTACTTGCTTCCTATCTTTGTAGTCAACAAATTCATCAACTTTATGTGTATATACTTCTATTACTTGATTTGACTCTTTAATCTCCTTGTTCTCAACAGCACCAAGCCACTGGGGCTTTGCAACAGTACAGATTGGCTTTTTCCCCTCAGATGTATCCCTAACAATATTTTCTTCTGGTTTCTTTGTTGATTCTGTAGAGACATCTGTGACCCCCTCTTTCTGCATGGGAGAAATTTCTGATTCTGTAGAAATACTAAATTTTTTGGGTTCCTTAGGAGATTGCTTCCGGACAACAGCCACAGGAGGTTTACATTTTTCGGGTGCTGGTACTTGTGCCTTTGTATCCCTTTTCTTAGCAGTTTCTCCTGTTGGGTCTGCGACTTCAACAGGTAGGAGATCCGATCCAACTCAGACTGAAGGACAGAAAGTTCCTTCTGAAGTTTCACCGTCCTATCAAGCACTGATGAAGAAAGAATCAGCCTAGTCAGCTATGTACATTTCACTATTTAATATTTGCCTTTTTAGATAGCTAAGAAAGTAAAAATAAATAGACAAAAATATGACCATATTTATAAAAAAAAAAGAAAATAGCTCAAATGTAACAAAAAATCAAGCTACATATAGATTTAAATTATTCCTTTTTACATTATCCATATGACTCAGCGATTTATTCATTAATTGTTGGGAAATATTTTTGCTTTTGTAAGCTAAGGCTCTTTTTATATTTGCTTTCAAAGGAAAAAGGAAGTAGCAGAAGGTTACGATTAAAAGAAGCCTAAGGAAAAGTACAAATGGACAATGTGCTTAATTATTTCCACCGTCAGCATTCTGCATATTTTATGAACTTGTAGGATTACACACATACACATATCTTAGTTTAAAATTGACTCACCTAGCTGCGATGAAAGCCCAGACATGTAAGCATCAAGTGCATCTCCAGCTCAGTGTCTAAGCCAGTTTCTGATGCCATTTTGTTCTTCTCGATGAATAGCAACTCTTTCTTGTCTTCAATTTCTTTTGTTATGACATCTCTCTTATCAAGAAGACTATCAGCAGTTTCAATAGACTGGGTTTCACCAAATTTTTTCACAGTGGGTTTCTTCTTTGCCCGGTCATAGAAATCATCATCATCACTGAAGAATCAAAAGTCATTGAGCATCAACTGTTTATCTAGCTTCATAAGTCTACTTAACTACAAACCAGATAGACATCCTTCTGATATACTTGAAGAGAAGAAAATTGAGAAAGATAAATGCAACAACATCTAATTACATATTTATTCTGCATGAGTCACTAAAGTAAAACAGTATATAACAAAAATTTGCATGTGTTTCAACAGCTTTCGAAGCAAAGGCAAAATAAAATATCTGGTTTTCTCAAAATGGAAATTACCTTGAGAAGTCTTCATCATCGTCCTCTGGCCTTCCCTTTCGCTTACCCCGAGAAACCTTTCCAGCACGTGCACCAATGCTTTCACGGATACTGTGATTTAGAATCTCTTCCAAACTTTCTAGCTCTTCCAGTATCTACAAAAATTACGAGATTTGTGTCAAAAGTATTCTGACTTCTCTTCATAATCAAACCATATAATAATCCAATAAAAACACATCAGACTCCTATCCACATAACTTTCAACATACCTGTGTCATTCTTTGTTCATTCCTAGCAATCTGAGTTTGCTGGCCTTGTGTCAACGCACCTTGTGAAATGTCTTTGGCTCGTATTGCATCTATCTCTTTCTTCATATGGGCAATCTATATTCAGAGCAACAAGTTGCAATAATAATAATTAAAATAATTAAATAGAAAAGGTACTAACAAGGAATAGATCAGAAAAAGGCATCTCCATGTTGAAAATAAAGATCTAGAAAGAAAGCTTTGACAACTAAAACAAGCAACCCAAATGAGGAAAAGAAATGTGTCACTAAATTCATTTCGCAATAAGTCACAAAGAGAACAAGACTTGCCTTTTCAGTTCTTTTTATTATCTTATCACGGGTTTTCTCCTGCTTCTCTGTAAGCTGTCCTTTGTAGGTTTGCCAAGTCACTTCATCAGCATCATCCTAGATATCCAAACGACATTAATAAGTAGAAAATAAAATTAACAAAACATCTGTTAGTCTTGCATGAAAACAATGTGAAATTAGGTGTGAAAGAAAAATGCACAATATATGTAGCCATCAAGTGAAAATGGCAAGCTCTACCCACCTCTCCCAAAAATGAGCGCGTGCGTGTATATTTTGAGGTAGGATCCGTTGATACTGTAAAATTTCAAGTTTTACATGATTTTTTGGATCGTTAGACGAGAAAAAATAAATGGATGAGATTGAATAGATTTTTACAAAAATTAGAAAGGAAGATGTAGATTATCCTCAAATTTAAAAGCTTTAATCTCAGCCATTAAACTTGGTTAATCCAACCATCCAAAAAATGTATAAAACTTTTTAAATTGTGTAAGTAAATTTTAACTATATAGGTGTCTATATATATATATATATATATATATATAACAAGAGCCTAATGCGTAAAAAGGCATTTGGATAAGCAATCAACACTAATTGCCTGCAGGGAAGGAAATCATCTTCATTACATTCATCTGATTGCCAGCTGATGGAACGAAGTGTCTCCTGAAGAAATACAACAATTGTGCCATCATCCGTATTGGATTCGGATTCTTCTTGGGTTACCGTTTCGGGTTCGGCCGAGGGATTAGGGGTCCGGGAAGGCAGTGGACCCATAGTGGCAGTCATGGTTGCGGGAGAAAGAGACGGCGAGACGAAGGAGAGGTGTTGCAGGAATTTGAGGGTAACGCGGCACAGGGAGCAATGACGAGCGGATCCAAAAATGGGTTACGGGTCAAAAGAATAATTACGAAAAATGAGCGGGTCGGTTTTGGCGAGTTAGTTTTCACATATGTGTGTGTGTGTGTTTTGAATTATCATATATATGTGTTTAAATATATATTCGGTACATAAATTAATAATCATTTCTTAAGGTGTTGTCTGAATATTTTTACTCTCAAATTAATATTTGAGTTAATCATTTTCTTTCAAGTTGACATTTTAGAAAAATTATACTCAAACTAATGCTTGACTTATGCATCTTCTTTCATATTGGCACGTGAAAAAAAGTATTTCAAATTGGTACTTAAAATTTAATTTATTATTTTAATATTTTTATTAACATATTAATTTTTAATGGAATTAAAATATATTCAGTATTATTAACAATAATAAAGTAATTAAAATAAAATTATATTAAAATAAAATATTTTATTAAACAAATAAAAAGTAAAATATTTTTATAAACAATATCCATTAAGTTAAAGTTTAGATCATAAATTTTTAATTCATATTTAATTGTTAAAAAATAAATTTAATCGTTCTCTATATCTTTCCTCTTTTATATTAGTTTTCTTTTATATATTTTTCATCATTAATGAACGATGATATTAATTTTAAATTGATCATTGATCACTGATATTTTTTTTATAATCTAAATTGTGCTACATTTTATGTTAATTAATTTTCCTCTTCTCAAATAATAATTTTTATATAATAGATGTATCAAATAATAACCCTTAACAAAATTAAGGTTTGATGTTAGTTTTAAAAAATAGACTGAACTTGATATTTTTAATTTTCTAGATATATTTCCAGAACAGTTCCAAGAAGGCTAGTAGTCTATTACAATCTGAATACACTGTATTTGCTATTTTACAACTTGATTTAACAATGTTCAAAATCAAGAATTAAGCGTCCATGGGGGCATGATGTATGAACTTCATACACTTCCCTACAATCTAACTTTTATACATTGGAAGGAAAGTTCATCTTATTAGATAGCTTAATCGAACCTCCTTCGAAAACCCGGATTTTCGAATCAGACAGAATGATTCTGCAAAAACCGAGTGTCTTCAAGGACGTCGAGGCCTAAAAAACCTTACTTCCTGCAATCAGAGGAACTGCAACATAGATCATGCCCTATGTCCTGAATTCTTCTTAAAAAGGGCATAGGCGTCGCTGTATATGGCTATCGCGTTCGAGAATACGGCGAGGACGATCATGAAAAGAGCTAAGATCTTGTCTTTCTTTGTTGCTATGAAGTGGTGATCCCTGAAACACCAATGGAAAACGATCAAGACGAATACAAACATAAACAGAACAATATTAGACAAATGAGCAGGCTGATGATGCAGGAGCAAGAGTTCTCAGTAACGTCCACGTAAAATCAAAGACTAACTAACCTAAGAGTGACCGCAGCAGGAAAAATGAACCCGAGACAAACTGCAGCAGTTGCTCCAGTGAACTGGAAAGCATCCCAGATGCTTGGTATGAAATTAGCACCCGAGAAGATAACCACGATGAGTCCGGCCGTAATACAGGCAAACCTCGTATTAGACAGAACTAGAGGCCTTGCAGAAGGGAAGAGAAGGCCGTCCATGTTGAGTCGCAGCGGATAGAAGACGACGGGAAAAACGAGCATTAGGTGAGCAACGTAGCTAAAACGGACAGTATCATTAAGCAGAGAGCTATAAGGGATGCCAAGGTCAGTATCAAAGTTGGCAAGCACATCATCCAATGTTCCGTTACCGAATAGAAGGAACCCGAAAACACTTATCATTATGTAAATGGATGAGCATAAACCCAGTGCTGATCGCACAACCGGTCTTATCTGCGTAGAATCTTCGAGTTCGTTTTCTATGCTGTGAACTGCAAATTTAAGCAGTGGAAAATCAGCCATTCGTGTTATCCCGAACCAATGTACAAGATAAAAAGGAACATTGCTTAAATAAAGAGTATAATATTTCATGAATCAGCTCATACCGTTGTAGTGGCAGATGTATGCAGTGACTAGAACAGGGACAACAGTGAAGAGTTTCCAGAATGAAGTCAAATCGGTGACATCGGGAAGCAATCTAGGCATCATTATAGTTCCACTAATCAGCTTGATAATCGCTATTCCGACCGCAATTACAAGAAACACAACAGCTAGAGCAACTGATAAGGCCGATGTAAATCTTAAGGAATCTGCAAATAGTTTCAAACATGTTTTAATGGAGTCAACATATGATCTAACTAATGATCTACCAAGAACAAGCAAGATAATTCACTGGAATCCAGTAAAGCTAGCACAACAGAAACACTAACCGATCCGCTTGAAGCATGCCAGCGGAGAGAAGATGCCGAGTGTAGTGACGAGAAGGACAAAGGTTCGCCCGTTCCACCAGTGTTCTCCGAACCACCCTTCAAGGACACCAGAATGGTGCACCCCGCTTGATGATGTTCCAGAAAGCACATCACCTTCGCAAAAGAACAACAAACCAACATAAGTTGTAAAGCAAATTCACACATTACCATAATAAACAAATGAACAAGAGAGACAACCAAATATGAAAATTCAGTTGAAGGAATTAAGGCTTTTACCAATAATAATCATGTATACAATGATTTGACCATGTTAACAATCCTCTTTTTACTTACTCCTTTCTATTCTCTTTTTATTTCAAGTCCTCCAATATTGACATTAGCTTCTCAAACACTACATTTTTCGACCCACCACGTCTTTCAACCAAATCCATTACCATCCTTCGCCTGTATATATATTTCTCACCGATGATGGGTTAGCTAATGACTCACAAAGTAAATAATTAATCGATAAATTATCTAATTATATATTTAAAAATAATTATATATAGAAAATATGAGTCAAAATTGTTTTTACGTTTGAAAATATTTTTATTGCAAAGTATGTACGCTTTGATAAAATAAATTCTTCATCAGTATTTTTTATTAAGTCTGATTGAATAACTATAACATTTACTTTTGTGAGGCTTTTTAAAAATATACATATAATTTTGGATATTTGCTTTTGACACTATACGAAGAAAAGGTTTGAGAGTAAATTACTCGTGAAAAAGGTTGAAGCATCTTGCGGTATCCAAAATTGATAATATTATTAAAATATTATATTGATTTGACTTTTTTAAAATTTGAATGTAAATTTTATGACGTCTTTCTATCACAAATAGTTAATGAGTTATCATCATGCGAGTTAGTAAATCATCTTGTCAACTATCATAGTAAAATGATATTGTTCTATTTTACGTTTGGTTCTTAGACGCAATTCGAATCAGTGGCGTGGAGACTGCGGCTCAAAAGGTCACTGTGCGCTCTATGGTTTCTTCGGCTGGGGAATGGGAGTGGCATTTAGTTCGGCATGCTCTGTCGAATTCAGTATTGCTTGCAGTTGCTGCAGTGAAGTTGCCACTGCTCACAGGTGGCCCGGACAAGCCTGGATGGAGGTGGGACAAACATCGACGATTCTCAACTACGAGTGCTTATGTGCGATGAGCCAATTTTGAGAGCGAAGTGAAGTCACACTTGTGGGATGTAGTATCGAGGCATCGTGGATTGCCTCGAGTGAGAACGATATTATGGTTAATTTGGAGGTAGTGTCTTTTGACAAATGGGGATGGAGTTCAGATGCATATAATCAATGTCATGATGCTAGTTGTGACGGTTGTGGTACGGTTCTAGAGTTTGCGTCACATATATTTTCCGTGAGTGTGTGATCACTCGTGCAGCTTGGAGTGCGATTGTTCAACCGGATTTACTGAATGAGTTTGTTTAGATGGATTTGAGGGGTTGGATTCAATTGAATCTCCAGAAGCCAAGTTACTTTCCTAGTGAATTGTGAGGATTGGAATTTGCTCTTTGGTTTGATTATTTGGAGTCTTTGGATACAACACAACAAAATGGTGTTTGATCCGAAATTTCTGACAGTCCAAAGTGTAGTGCAAGGTGATCATAGGTTGCAGATGGAGGCGTTGTATGCTCTTGCGCTTCACAATGCTAGAACGGTAGGCTATTCGAGAGGCGTTGATCATAATATTAAATGGACGCCAACTCAGGTTGGGTGGTGTGAGCTTAACACTTATGGGACTAAAAGATCGTGTTCTGGGTTAATTGCGTGTTGTGAGACTCTTCGGGTGGTTGGATCACGGGGTTCACAAAGGTCATTGAGTGTTGTTCGGTTCTCGACGTAGAGCTCTGGGATGTGTATGAGGGATGGAGCGGAGGGCTGTCATTTTGGAGACTGGACACTTACAACAAGGAGCTTATGTCCCTACTTGAGCAAGACACGGCAATGGTGGTTGTTTCTCCCATGATTCCACATATCATTGAGCTGCTTGGACTAGATTGACGGCTACGCAGCCTTGCATGATGTTATTCCTCTAGGATACTACTTTATCTCTTTGTAATTCAAAATAAAAAGTGAATTTGATCTAATTTATTTTCACAAAGATTGTGTAAGTTAGAAATTCTAAAAAAAAAAAATTGCAAGACCTCATAGAATGATTAGCAAAAGTAAGCTTTAAATTCAAGGGAACGCATTAGCAATACACCTCCAAGATATCACATTTTAAAATAAATTAAACTACACTTCAAGCTTAAATCTTTTATACATTATTCATTAATAAAATTATTCTAATCTTCAAAAAGAAAACTCAAAATAAAAATTTTCCCTCTTCATTTAGCAACCAATTCAATTAGATTCGGGAAGTTTAGAATACATAAAACAAGCATTGATATTCCAAAGTAACTTCAAATTGACAAACCCCAAAATACTCAACAAATTCTCGACAGAATCTACTTTGCTTCATTAGGCTTGTGGCCCTCCCCAAACCAATAACCAAACCCTTTGCCTCTTTTACCCAGCCTAGACGCCATTAATCGGAATATTGCATTTTCTTTTTCCAAAACTTTTGCGATTCTTGATATAAATTAGTTATTTAATAAATTAAAATACTGATAGTTTAAAAAAATAATCTTCAATACACTCTTCTAACATTTACGTATTTCTGCAAAATTACATCCATCTGGATGTGAAAATGGCAACCGAAAAGAAAAAAAAAAAGAAAATTAGATTGGAAGATTTAGTGTAAAGTTGTTAGCTCCTTTAGTAATTGAGAGACAGCTCTCAAGCTTGTTGTTCAATATGGTGAATCGGGTTGGCGATGTACGTAGGGTTTCCATCACCGGCCATGATCACAACAATTTTGGGCTCCATTTCAAGTTGCATGGCAGCCACTTCTTGCTTGGCTGGCTTTTCTTCAGCTTCATCACCATGGGGATCGTGCGTCGACGATTCCTTGCATGAACAAGCTAGAATGACTAAAGCTATTGCAATGAGTCCTAGCATCGCCGCTATTCCACCGAACAGGTACGGAATGGGAGAGTTCCAGTTCCGGAACACGGCTCCGGTAGCAGCTGCCGTTGAGTTGCTTGCAGGCCTCATCTCTCTCTCTCTTGATGCTCAGAGGTTTATCTGTCTAGAATTTTGTTATCTTTCTTACTGGTTTTAATGGTGTAATGGGAGCTTTGAATTTATAGTAGCGGCCAATTGAGCTCCACAGTGCATGGATTAGGACGAGGAAAAAACCATATTGTTGCTTTTTCATTAAGGTGCCGAATTTGCCCCCATTTTTTCTAAAGAGGATTCTTTTTTGGGGTCCACTGAAATTATTAAGCCTCTATTTATGTTGAGAATAGCACAAGAGGGTAGATAGGTAAATTAACAAGGGTTGAAATTCATGTGACAAGAATGAAGCAACCAACTAAGAGAGAAAAAGAAAAGTGGGAAATGGTTGTGAATATGTGCTAATGGATGGAGAAACTACATCATGTTATTATATACGAGTATAGATTTGTTTATTAAATTCATTGAATAATTTCACTGATAAAAGATAATATTATTATTCTTAAAACAATTAAGATATATATATATATTTTATAAATAAACTAATTTTTTTTTAATAGATATTATCTTGAAATATTGGTACAATGATTAAATTTCATGATATAATTTTTTTTAAAGAGAAAACTTTTGGGATAATGTGAAAATAGGGCCCATTAAACGTGTCCTTAGGGCACACGTATTGCCTATTGTGCCCATCACCGGGAGATATGAAATTGTGAAGCAAGCTCTCTCCCTTCCTTTCTTCCCAGTTGAAAAATGAGAATCTAACGTAATAGATATGCTAAATGCTTCTCCTCCTTCACAAGAAACCACCTGCACATGACACCATCAAAACTTTATTCGTCCATGAAATGACACTCCAATGCCATAATGATGTTTTTATAGCAACTCCCTATTCCCAAACAATGGAAACAGGTAGGAGGAACCTTGCTGTACTCAAAATCTCTGATTCTCATACTTCCGGTTGTTTTCAAATCTATTGTTCATCATTGGTTGTTGTTCTTAATTCTATTATAATTTCATCTAAATTACTCTAAAATCATTTTTCTTTTTGCTTTCTACTTAGTTATTTAGGGTTGGAATTTTGTTGTGGTGATTCATCCCGCGGCAAACGTAAATGGACTCTATGATGAGCACAAGTCCATTTTAAAATTTAAAATTTTTATATTGATTTTCTATTTTATTAATAGTTTCCATTTTGAAATTCTATTTATATATTCATCGTAAAAAAATTATGTTATTAACATATACATGTGTCTACGTTAAAAAAATTATTTTTAGATCTGTCACTAGATTCATCCATATCCGTATTGCTTGACACAAAGATAAAGAAAGATCCATCATTGTCGGTATCTCCAAAACCAGGCATGGTTTTCATGGGAAATTAAAATTGTTGGCTATCACTTTCTTAAGCTACATAATATTACATTAAAATAATTATGATGGATTCTGAACTAATCTCAGAATATAGGGATAATTGTGATGAGTGGGGGGAAAAAAATAGAATTGGAGTGGGTGAATTGAGGGTTCAACTACAACGAACCAACGCATTCTCCTAGGGCCTACATTGCATTAGCTAAAGGGGGTAAAAATATATGGATAAACTACACTTTTCCATCGCTCTCTATTTGTTTCTGCTTTTGTCACTCAACTTTAAAATTTTTAAATTTAATTACTCAACCTTCGAATTATTATTATCTAAGTTACTTTATTTTTAAATAATTAACGTTGTTATGACAGAGTGTCTGTTTTTTAAAATTGGAAAAGATTCAAAAACTTTCTTCAAATTTTTTGAAAAAAAAATCGTGAAAACTTCTTAAAACTTAATTTTTCAAATTTCTTTAATTTTCAGACGTTGGAGCATATTCTTCTAAAATCCAACAATAAGGAGATAGAAAAAGAAAAGATAAGCTAATATCATGATTTCACGTTAATCAAACGGCAAAAGATTATAGACCATCTTCATTTTTTTAAGTTATGTGTTGTGTTTATCGAGTTTAAAGAAATTTTTAGAAAAATTAAATTGATAATGATAGGGGTTGATGAGACAAAATAGTCGGTGTCTTGAGTGACTAGAGAATACACCAGAAAACGATAATTCTGATGCCAACATGACTTAGAGGTAAAACTCTTGAAATTTTACGAAAAAAATATGAAATAAAAAAAGAATAAAAAATTAAGTGGACAACGTGTGACTT